ACATATTAATAACTTTATTTAAAACAGGGCTGTCACTATCAATTATTTTAGTAATTGAATAATCTAGCATTTATTTAGATTTTTGGATGTACACTGAAATTGTAATAGCCATTACAATTACAACACTGAAAATACATGATAAGAATGAGTCTGCTGCCAGAGGAGTACTGGCGCTACTGTCCAATTAAGAGTCTGACCAATCCATTGGTTGGCCCAAATCAGCCAATATTTGCAGCCCACAGTTTTATTGAGGTCATGACCTCTCAAAGTGTGGGTGAAACTTTAGAAGAAGAATATTCACCCGATAGCATGGAGGAAGTTGGATCTAAAGAAGTGGTGAAAAAGGTTGGTTAAAGAGGAAAACAACAGAGGCCAGTCTAGATAAAGTGGGAGGCTGGCTCACCATCAGGGCCTGACGGAGAGGTGAAAGAGGCTGGCCCTGGCAGAGAGATGTAGGAGGCTGACTCTTGCGGACAGGTGTAGGAGGCTGGCCCTAGCGGGAAGAGGTGTAGGAGGCTGGCCCTGGCGGGGAGAGGTGTAGGAGGCTGGCCCTGACGGGGAGAAGTATAGGAGGCTGGCCCTGATGGGGAGAGGTGTATGAGGCTGGCCCTGATGGGGAGAGGTGTAGGAGGCTGGCCCTGGCGGGGAGAGGTGTAGGAGGCTGGCCCTGGCAGGGAGAGGTGTAGGAGGCTGGCCCTGGCAGGGAGAGGTGTAGGAGGCTGGCCCTGGCGGGGAGAGGTGTAGGAGGCTGGCCCTGGCGGGGAGAGGTGTAGGAGGCTGGCCCTGGCAGAGGCAAAATTTGTTTGAACTTAAAGACAATCAAAGAGAAGACGCTAACGGTAATCTGTTTTAAGAGAACTAAAATTGTCTGTACTCCTCTACCATTAAGCTTATTTGATTGTCAAATTGAATAAAATATTTAAAAATAAATTAAACAATAAACAAATGTAATAATTTGTGATACCTGATCACATATGTGCAGATATTGAAAGTAATGATTAACTTGCCTCAAAGTCAGCAGCAAACTTTACAGACCAATACCAACGGATGACTGTAGACCGCTGAGCAGGAAAAAAGAAAGGGGAATGTTTTTTAATTAGGCGCGTCCATTTTTTATATCGGGCCTTGGCCTGAGCCCGGTAACAGTTACCGAGCTACCGCAGTAACAGCCCATAATTATGGCAAGCCGTTTTAGCTTTTAATCCTTTTTTTCTTGATATCAGGAATTCAATTTGAACATGTGAAAATTGAACTCTTACTAGTAAAAATTGAATTCCTGATATCAAAAATTCAATTTTTACTAGTAAGAATTCAATTTTCACATGTTCAAATTGAATTCCTGATATCAAAAATTGAATTTTTACTAGTAAGAATTATATTTCTTGATATCAAAAATAAAATTTGTACAAGTGAAAATTGAATTTTAACATGTAGAAATTTTATTTTGACTAGTAAGAATTGTATTTTTACTAGTACAAATTGAATTATTACATGTTCTAATGTTAATTATCTTGATTTGCATGTGGATGTGAAGGCGGAAATAATCTGGTTTGTGCTTTTCTTAAAGAGCCAACACCAAGTTCCACGTATATTGTAAAATTTAGTTTTCGGGAAAAAATAGTAAAGCTTGTACTTAACAGATCTTGCAGCATATTTAAAAAAATACATTAAAAAGCTTTAAAAACGTGAATGTTTCACAACACTTTAAATGAAAGTGCTCCTGTCTCCTCTGTGACACGCACACAAGACGAGGCCATACTGCTTCAGCGTACACTACTGTTAAACTCTGGCAATGGCGGCCTTGGTTCTTGGGAAGATTATGAGGAGAGTCAGGCTAATAGAAAGAAACTTCCAGCAAGGCAGCAATGGAGGCCTGCGCGATGTTGGTATTGTTGATTCTCTCATTGCTAATCTGCGTCGTATTGAGCACCATTTGAACCTTGAAACGTTCACAGAGTTGTTCGAGAGTCTGACTGCATTACAGTCTTCCATAACTGCTGATGTGCCAACTACTTCATACTCTGCCCAGCGTAGTAGCACCGGTATGCATTAAACAACCACTATGCAGGCCTACTGCATTAATTCAAAATACTTCTTTGATTAGTTCCGTAACTATGCTTTGAACATTGCCTGTGTTCAGTGTGTTGTTCGCATTGGATATTTCAGGCTCCCGTGGAAGACCCAGAATAGATGTATCAAGAGAACAACTAGAACTTTTATTGAACCAAGGATTTAAGGCGAAGGCAATGGCACGGCTTCTTGGTTGCTCGTCATCCTTCATTTATAGAAAACTAAGATCTCTGGGCATTTCCATTAGACAAAGATTTATTCCGATCAGTGACCGTGATCTCGAACAGCACGTAAGAACGCTACATCAACAACATCCCAGGTCAGGTTGTGAGGTAAGAGGCTGAATTATTGCAGTTAAGCCATCCATTAGAAAATCTGTTAACCTTCTATGGGAAAACGTTGCCTAGTCAATGTATGTCTAATTTTGAGAACTGTCCTGGTAGATGATGAGGGACTACCTTTCTGCTGCGGGTATACGTGTTCCTCGACGTCGAGTGCGCGACACACTGAACAGAATCGATCCCGCAGCAGCTGCGCAAAGGTAGAGCAACGTTATTGCAAGGCGCACATATCATGTACCGTTTCCGAACAGTCTATGGCACATCGACGGACACATGCGCCTCATACGGTAAAATTACGTGTAATTTAATTCTGTGCAATGAATTTGGCATTTTTGTGATGATGTAATGATAAACCCGACTCTTAAAACACTCACGTCTGTTTTCACGGCGGTATAGACGGATATTCACGGGTTATCACCTACCTGACCGCCAGTACAGACAACACTGCCCAGACAGTTCTGGCTCACTTTTTGGGGCAACCTGTCGGTACGGACTTCCCTCAAGGGTCAGATCGGATCAAGGGGGTGAAAATACACTGGTAGCACTGTTAATGAACCTGCTGAATGGGGAAGGACGAGGTAGCCACATTACTGGGCTATCAGTCCACAATCAACGAATTGAACGCCTCTGAAGGGATGTGTTCACACATATCATCCATTACTATTACAACTTATTTTACTCTTATGAGGATGAAGGCCTTCTGGAACCAGACAATGAAATCCAGAAATACTCGCTCCAAACAGTGTACCTGCCAGAAATTAGAGAGAGATTGAGCACTTTCAGAAATGCATGGAACAACCACAGCATGAGGAGTGAAAATTATCGCACCCCTAACCAAATGTGGCTGGAGGGCATGGTTGGCAACCAGCTAGTAGACAGTACTGCAATCAGCAACGTTTTTGGTGAGAACCCATACAGTGACGACAACTTAGAAACACTACAGAGAAGCACAACACAGTGTGCAGCTAGAGCAGTTAGAAGCCGAAGAAGAGGTCTTTGACCAGGCAGTAGTGGTGAGGCAACCACACATCAACCAAGAACAACAGCAGATTCTTCAGGATGTCCTCACAAGAATTGCAGATTTGAAAGACAAATATTTAACTTGCTGTAGGGAGATCACCACTATGCTTTCAGCCTAATGCTTTCTGACATTTTGCTAAAAAAAAAGCCCAAAAAAGAATGTACAGAATATACAACATGAATGCGTAGTTCTTGTTAGGATGCAAACACAAAGCAGACTGAAAATGTCCCTTTTTTTTTTTAACATATAAAACACACTACATAGAGAAGCCATGCCATTTACAACAGCAAAGATTTGTTAAACTGTTGTTCTTGTAACTGTAATGCACCAACAGAAACTGTTCCAAAGGTGATTACAATACTAAAAGGTCAAATGAAAAAAAGGAAACAAAAAAAAAAAAAGAACCTGACTAACATACACAAGCTTGTTGTAGCTTTGTTTAAAAGCATATAACTTTTTTTAAAATCACAGATACTCACTTAGGTCAGTGAGTTTTTGTTTTTTTTTGCAATGCATAAAATAACTAAAGCAGGCTCAACACTGAATTCTCAGACAGCACTGAGAGTAAAATGTGTAGAACATTAAATTCCTCAGGTGAACATGTAGCTATGGAAATTTTTCAGTCTTTCAAACTTTCTGCAGCTGGCTAGAGATACAGACTAAACTTTTCCAAATCCCAAAGAACCAAGTACAGCATCAGTCATCAGATCAAGTAGCTCATTTTCATTCTGGATGCCACAAGGAAGGAAGAGTGTCACACAGCAAGTTGAGGCATAAGGAAAACGACTGCCCCTTATCTCCTGATCATAAAACTGTATTTGAAGTTGCTGTGGAAATCCAAGAGGTGGTACTGCATCTGCTCCCGTAACAAACACCAGTAGGTCCTCAAAGGTGAAAGGAGTTTCTTTTTCTGTTAAAACAGACACACACACACAAAAAACAGGAATTTACTGTGGTACAGCTTTGATATTGTGAACATTTTGTGCTCTGTATTTAAATACTGTTCCATAATAAGATCCAGACTGCAAAGTAAAAAAGTACACAACAGCATTATCAACTTCACAATGACAGCAGGATGGATTTTACCTTGCACACTGTTGAGAAGACATTCCCATGCAAACATAGTGTCCTCTTCAGCTTCCTTGTTGTTCGTCCCTTCGTCACTCCAAATGACATCGAAAAGACACCGAAAGGCAGCTCTTGTCAGTGGTCCCTCTGTGTGTGTAAACAGGCACTGAAATGCGTTCCAGCACCTCTCCACAGTTTCCCAAAGTTTGCCACAAGAGTTGATTCCTTGTTTAAACTGCTCAACCATGCGTGCAGTTCTGAAACAAAAATTAACAAATTAAATATTTTCATTAAATGAATAAAAGAAATAGTCTACAGTGATAATTAGCTAATAGGACCGCACCAACTACTCAATCAGAATAAGCCGTTATTAGCAATAAGCAATAATATTAGTCAACAAATCCTGTCTACTACTTTATCACAGATTGCTGTGCAATACCTGAAGTACAAAAAACATTAAGTCCTGACAGTACTGGGAATAATACCTGTGAAAGATGAAATGCTTCACAACTTGGGAAAGTATCTGAGGAATGTCATGGACTTTGGTTTCATATACCCCTGGCACACCACAGTCTGCAATCCAGTCACCCAAACTGTCCTGAAGACTTTTCCATGCCTCCTCAGTTTTGCATTCTTTAATCTAAGAATACAGCAGAAGGCAAGGCATAGAAACCAAAACAGAAATTAAAGCTACATTAAATATACAGTGTTTTAGATTGTTTAACAAAATATTAAAAGTACAAGATAAGAAACAAAGTAATACACGGTTCTTTTTTCCCCTCAAAGTTCATTTCTGTAAAATTTAAAATTAGCTCTAACTTTAAAACAACAAAGCAAAAAATGGCAAAGTGTCAGAATACCTGCTGAAGCTTGTCCTGCACACACTTGTCTGGCAAGATGGAAATATCAAATCCTTCAAGATCTGGAGCCTGACCACACATTAACTGATAAAGGCTGGGATGTAATGCCTTAATGCCCGGTCCCCCATGCAACAGAGACCAGGCAAATCAGCTTCCCTCCAGTATAATACTTTCCCTTATCTAGGGCTGCCTGATCATAAGAAAAAAAAAAAAGGTTGCCTGGCTGTCCCTCGAAAATGCCCAAAGTGGACTGCAAGTCCTTCATTAAAAGCCTACCACAGAGACGAGAGGAAAAATGTTAATATTGTATAAAATTAACTCAAAAGGAAACATGCAACTGGGTCATCTTGTGTCAAACAGTAAGAAAAATGGCAAGGCATATTCTCTCTATCTAACCGTCGTTAACGTTGGCGCCACTGTTTATTAGAGCATACCTGAACAAACACCACTGTCAAAACCAAGAAGCTTTTAGATAAAACTGTTGGACAATGAAGCACCGATCAGGGTTGGGTCATAAAAATTAGCTGATTTTATTCACCCCATAGAACCGTAGAATTAATTACAAAAGCTGAAAGAATTACACACAGCTACAACTTTGTCTGGATATCAGCATCCACCCAACAATGGTGAGATTTATAACAAAGGTAAAGAGCAATAGAAAAAGGTTCTTTGATGCATTGCCCACAGTATTTAGTAAAATTCTATGCTCATGATGCTCCACAAAGCTGGGATTTATGATGCATTTATGAGCAATTTCTAAAGAAAGACTAGTTTCTGTACAAAAGTTAGATCACTCTTTGATTGATTCATTTTCCAGTCAAAATGGCCATGAAATAAAATCTATTCATTTTTCAGCTTCAGGAAAAAAGTCCTAACCACTAAATATGAAGAAAAAAAAAAAAACAAAAAAAACAACAGGATTTAGTGTGTCCACACTTTGCCTTCATACAGCTTCCTTACTTTCAGTTTTTCAAAATTAACAAGCAGTTATATTTTTCCACACCTTCAAAGTACAGTCTTAGAAGCTGGTTTAGCATTTTCTGCTTTTCACAGTCAACGTAATCTGGTCTGGACTCTGGGGGCCAATATTCTGAGAACATGAGCAGCATCTTTGTTTGATGTGTCTGTCTCCTTTTCTCAGTGAGGCTTCTTGACAGCTACACATCCTTTCAGACCCATAGTACTGAGTTAACTTCTTACAGTGGAAGAAAGGACAGAAAAACCTGTGGATTTTTTTCAGAAATAAAGCAAGAGTGGAGCTTAATTTTATCCACTCTCCTCTCTCTAAGAAGAAAGCTTTAGTCTTATTTATTGATGGGGATAGTTTTGGTATTGTTAGGCGAGTCCCAGATAAGCCTATTTATTCTGCACCTTTAAATTAAATTTTGAACTCCAATCTCCTCAGAAATATCTCAAAATGAACAACAAAAATGAATTGCTTGCACGTAATGCCACTTCGACTGCAAATGAAATAAATGATAGGCAGTCGCTGACTTTTGCATTGCTCTGTATATTAAATATTATAACATTCCAGTTTGACTAAAGTACAAAATAAAAAAAACATACAGCAGTATTATCATAAATAAAAAATGTAACACAAACCTGAAGAATTCTCTTGTAGGCCCGCCGTAATCATCAGCCATCTCACCCACAAATTCAATCTGTGGACGTTTGTGCCAGTCAGAATAGCCCTTGTTTAGAGCTGTGATGGCACTGTGTAGAATTCGCCTCCTTCTTGCCACAACTGTCAATGTAGCATGCTCACTGATGTTCTCCCTCTTAAAGTCTCTAATGATATCAGCAAGGTTTTCCATTTCCTTTAAACAAGAAAAAAATATAAAAAATAAAAAATAGCCATAACAATAGTAAACATATAGGTTTATTACAATGCTACTTTCAGTTTTTCTGCTCTGATCCTAGCATACAATCATACATTGAGTATACAGCTAAATTTTTGACTCACAGGGACTATAGGGGCGTTTTGGAGAGGACAACATCTGGGTGTCCTCATCTGGTTCACTGTCAGGTAATATGTCACTGTATGTACATAAAAGAAACAAAGCATAAAACTATGTTGCTATACATGAATCTACATCCATTAAAAAACATGGTGTGCCAAAAATACATCATGCTCCATTTACAGTTTTGCAGAAACATTTCAACTGTGGTTCAGTCAGACACAGGCCACAACATCAGCTTGAGAGATAAATCTTCTCACACTGCTCTGTAAATAACCACCATGGTTTATACTTTTAAGAAACGGTGAGCTCTCTAAAGAGATAAGTGAAATTAAGTTACTGGTGTCTGGTGAAATGTTTCACACAACCACCAAAACCATGAAATTCAATGTAATATAAACAAAGTCCACTAACTTTAGTGACAGTTCATCAGAAAGATGATAGGTTTTCTCTGGCTCATTTGAAAATATGTAAAATGGTAGCAGATTAATAAATGTTTGAGAACCTGATTGTTGTGAACTGGCTATGAGACACTCCTCCTGCTGCTGCTGGCAAACTCCCCCGTATCTGCTTGAAAAAAAAATAAATAACAAATTAGGGGTCTGCATTATAAACCCAAGGCAGACCTGCTGCATATTTACTAACAAAGTCATTATACCTGTGTGTAAATATAAGTGTGTCTAAATGTCTAAGTACTCATGTCTGGTATTCACAGGAGAACTTGTCAGGGGACAGTGCATTAGTGTGTCTTCCAGTGTATTTTCAGAAAGAGAGGCCTGGTCAGTTCTGCTGGGATGGAACAACAACAAAACAAACAAACAAACAAGCAAAACACATGAACATACACACACACACATGGAAAAAAAAAAACTATGTAGGCCTAAGGGTACTTAATATCAACCAACATGTCTAACAGCAACTAACAATAGGTCTTTAGTAGAGAACAATAATATTGCAATCTTAAAATTAGACATACCTGTTCTGGGAAGTTGTTACATCTTGAATTGGCTGATCAGTTCTGTAGAACACCTGATTCAGAGGATTACGTGTTAATTTTAAGACATCGTTATAAGTTATTTAAGATGTTGCTAAAAAGAAAATATGTAGCTTACACAGGTAATCTACCTAAATGAAACATATTTCAAGCAATGTTCACAGATCTACAAAATGAATTATAGAATTATATAATTCTCACCTCAGGAGTGCCAGCATTTACATATATGTGGCCATTATTTTCATCCTACAACATAAACAGCATTGCTAAATTTGTCAATTACAGTACTTCAAAAATTCCTAAATTGCGTTCAGAAAATGATGTTAGATGTAAATGGCACACCACCTGGCCTGTCAGGTCTACAACATTACTTTCTACTGACGCTGATGCACTTGTGGCCGTTTCAGAATGTACACTGGGAGAGACCTGTAGGAATTATTACAGTCCTCTGTTCATTATTTATGATTAGTTATTTACCCCAAAACAGAATTATGAAAATCAAATTGCAACATAATTAAGCAACTAGAAAGCATAATACTACTTTTCTCAGTTGACTGACAACTACCCTTGTCTTATTTGCTAATTACCAAGAGCACATGAGCTGAAACGTGTGTTAGAGCAGGAAAATCAGCAAACTGTGAAATGTTGTGAATCTCAACAACCTGTATTAGCTTCTACCTGGCACAACTGTGGAAGTACTGGACTGTTTCTTGTCTCAGCTGCTGAACTAGCACTGGATCTTCCTTCACCGCTCTGACTCAGGGATGCTGCAGCCTGCACAAACATTTTCAATATTCTTATAATCAAACTACTTTTCGGTTTATTTTCCTAAATATTCACAGAGATCAGATCTTATACATTTAATGATAAGTTCATGGCACTTTATCTAGCATTGAACTTAAGCAACAACAACCTATTATGGTACATTTAGAAGGTTGTGCCAGCACAAGGAAGTAAATAAGCCTGAAGCAATGCAAAACAAAATAGAACACCGGCACAGATGTAAATACAAAGTTACTGAATAATAGTGAGACTTCCTTAAGAAAAGTTCACTTTAATTAAAAGAAAAAAAGGAATGCAGTCAATCATGACCCACCTGTCTATACAGAGGTAAGTGTGAATTGGGTAGTATGTAAATTCTGCTTCTGCCAATTTGACGCTTCAAGTCTTTGACAGAGTTTGCTTGGGCAACCAGTAGTTTCTTTCTCTTTGTAGCTCTGGCAAGACGAAAACCGGTCACATTAAGGCTCGCAAAACTTTGGCAAATGAATGTGTTCAGCTCAGTCAGGGACCATGACAAATCAATGGTCTTCATCTCATCACCCAAGTCATCGTTTGCTGCAAACAGCAGTTTTGTAAAAACAAACAACACTAATATGAGTAAGACAGTAGACTGAATTCATGTATTTACAGCCTCTAAATTTAAATTGCTAAATTTCCTTCAGGATCAATAAAGTATCTATCTATCTATCTATCTATCTATCTATACTTTTCAGTAATTATATCAACAGGATGCAGAATTAACACTCAGGCTTTAGGATTATGTTCTACATAGACATTCATCCTGTTTCTAATTTTGTAATTAAATGAATAGAACATGACAGAGAGAAAGAACATAAATCTGTACAGCGCTGTCAGTTTCTTGGACTTAAGATGACAGTCATTCAATTATTTTGGGATCCCCTGCACTACACACTCTGCATTTTCCTGCTTTAACACTTCATTCAACTTTTTCATCAAATTATCACACCATTCAGGAACTGGATGTGTTCTAGCAGGTCATAAAATCTATGCAAAGCAGTAAACCTGCCAGTAATGGAAAGCAGACTGAATGAACGAAGTAAATTATAATGGAATTCCAAAGTACCTCTATACCAACAAATCACTGTTAACTAAAAACAATCAAACAAAAAAAGAACGTAATATCATACCTAAGCCTGATTTGTCAAGCTGCTTTGAATCCAGTGAATTGGGTACGGTGGTTTGGTTAGGATCTTGTAACAAGAAAAACTTCACCTGCCATTTAAGCCCAGGCTTTCTCCCACGTCCACGTCTTTCGCCTGTTGTGGTAAGAAAACAATATTGGGGAACATGACACACATCATCTGTATTAAACATGTTTGAAGTAACCACAACACAAACAAGGTAGTAAATTCCTCCATCTTATTCAGTAACACACCAACCATTTCGCTCACTGGCTACGGATCACAGTTCCAAGACCAAGCCGTGCGTATTTGTCTAGATACTTACGTTAGACATGGTAGCTAATGTTCTCTATATTTACTGGTTCATCCGGACCTAGCAAATACAGCTAATATTACCTAAAAGGCAAACATGATAACGATGTCTATCTAGCTAGCAAATTAGCAATCATACCTGGACTCGTGGTGGCTAGCAAACACATCTGGATTCGTCCAAACTTGCTAACATACCTGGATTCATGTTAATTAACCAACATACCTAACTTACACTGGTTCTAACTAACGTTCGCTAGCTAACATGCCTGGATCCATGCTAAATACCCAACGTACGTGGATTCGTGCTAATTAGCTAATATACCTGAATTCGTGCTTTCGATCTAATATATATCGTGTTTACTACCTAACATACCCGTGCTAACTTGCTAGCTAACGTTAGCTAACATACCTGGAGTCATGGAATTGCTGCGGATCCGTCGGCAGAATGAGCTCCGAACGGAAGACAACAGAGTTGATCCTGTGCTTGTGGATGGGCTGCCCGTGAAAAGCTGTCTTCTAGCTGCCGCAACAGCCCTATACACTCTTGGAAAATCGGGACAAGGTTCTTCCGTGCTGGAATGAATCTGATCTCCACCTGACATGATGCAAAGTTGATGACTCTCATAGTCGTGGAAGTTGAGCACCTGGTCGTCCGTGGAGCGGGAGCGTGGTTGCCAGACAACTTCATAAGTAATGTTACAGATGGTAAAATCAAAACGCTCTTCAAGAACCAAGACACGAAAATATAAGCTACCATGAATGTATGGGAATATCTAAACATTAAAAGCACACATTAAAATATATAATTCTGTTACTCTCATTCATTCTCATCTTATTATGAAAACTTTAAAATTCTAAGCAGGCTGCAGACCTGGCAACCTTGGATCTGTGGAGACACTCCCACTAGCAGTGACAGTGGGCCACTATTGGACAGATTTAAACGGACACATTACTGGCTCATTTGAATAAATTTTAACTAGTAAACACTGAATTCTTGATATCAGGAATTGTTTTTTCACTTGTAAAAATTGAATTCTGGATATGAAGAATTGAATTTTTACTAGTAAAAAAAAACTATTCATGATATCAAGAATTCAATTTTTGATATCTGGATTCAATTTTTACTAGTAAAAATACCAGCTCTGAGTTTTCACTAGTGAAAATTAAATTTTTACTAGTAACAATGTAAATTTCACATGTAAAAATTGTATTTTTACTTGTAGAAAATATAATTTTACTAGTTCTAATTGAATTATTACATGTAAAAATTTAATTTTTACTAGTAAGAATTAAATTCTTGATATCAACAAATGAATTTTTACTGAAAAATACATTTCTGATATCAAGAATTTAATTCTTACAGGTAAAAATTAAATTCCTGATATCAAGAATTATTTTTTTACTAGTAAAAATTTAAATCCTGATATCAAGAATTTAATTTCTACATGTGAAAATAAAATTTTTACTAGTAGAAATTTAATTCTTACTAGTAAAAATGTTTCCCCCATTAAAATGAATGGAAAAACTCATGAATTTTGACTAGTAAAAATTAAATTCTTACTAGTAAAAATTGAATTCTTACTAGTAAAAATTGAATTTTCACATGTAAAAATTAAATTTCTAATATCAAGAATTTAATTTTTACTAGTAAGAACACAACAAACCCAGTTTGTACTGAACGCCATTCTTTTCTTGTTCTTTTATTTTTGCCAAAAGGTTCAACTCACGCTATCGCTGTGCTTGCCCGCGTCTGCTACAGAGTCAGAGATCGTCTCAAAATTACAGGACTGAACAAGTGAAGCTATTATTATTACTAGTAGTAGTAGCAGCTTTAGTATCTCTGTAAATAGCTCTGCTGATGCTTTTAACAGATATATAAACAGATTTACATACAGAGACAATAATAATAATGCTAGTAATGATAGCAGAAACACTTTCTATTCGTAATTTTGAATATTTTGAGACTGGCCCTGAGTCCGAAGCGGCCGCGGGAGCAGAGTTGAAGCCTCGTCAAATAAAAGATTAAGCAAAGGGAAACCCGCTCTGTTTCTGAGGGTTATTTTACACACTTTTAACCAAATACGAGGACTGTGTTACTGGTATATACACTATAAAAAAGCAAATAAAAAATAAGATGGTTAAACTAACGTTAGTGCTTGCACTCTAATACAGCTTAGCTAGCTAGCTAACGTTAGCTGGCTAGCTCCACACACCACAATATAGGGTAACTTTAGATTCTAGCTAATGGATGTTTCTTACATTAGTCACTCATTCACCTCTCTGTTTTCTTTAGACTTGTTTTTTTCCTAAAACAGGCAGAAATATTAAAGCTGCTCTTAGAACATTTTCACATTTTCAAATGAACGCTAACAGCTGCCTCTCACAGTACAACCCAGCTAAGCTAGTTAGTTAGCTAGCTTAGTTACACAGCCGGGCGAGGGAGATAATGTAAGATTAAGAGTATGTCGTTATTAAACATAATTAAAGAGAAATCTCGAAAGTTAATTTAGGTTGGAATTAGACATTTTGACCCACTACCTCAGCTAACATAACCTAACTAGGTTAGCTAGCACTGACGTCGTCCCCTCTAGCAACTCCACCACTCAGCTTATTTGCTTGTCAAACTGAATAACATATTAAAAGTTAAACGATAAAATCCAAGATACCTGATCGTAATTCTAATAAATGTGCAAATATTTAAAATACAAAATACACCTTACCTCAAAAGCAGTAGCAAGTTTTACAGTCAAAGTCAACTGACAACTGCAGAGGACTGAGCGGGGGAAAAAGGGAGGGGCAAATTTTAAATGACGCGCGTCTGTTTTAAAGATCCAGCCCAAACGCGCTCTGAGTCCGCTGACCGGCAGTGTGTCTAGCGCTGTTAACAGTTACTTGGCCCAAATGTGGCACAAGTCCGCAATGCAGATGTGACTGCTAGGAGGACTTTGTGACGGCCAAGGTAATCCGGCCCGAACATGCTTGCTGTCTGGGTAAGATCATGTAAAAAGCCCTGCTTATTAAAATGTTTAAAATTTCCCCTGATCACCATTCTAGAACCAGACTTTTTAATTTGAGTGCTCCTGATGCACATGATGGGGAAATGATCACTAAAACCTAGATCAAAGACTCCTGACGCTGTAATTCTATCACTCCTATTAGTTCAAATTAGATCAATCAAGGTTGACTTGGAGTGATGCTTTAAGTTTGGCCTGGTTGGATCAGTGATCAGTTGTGAGAGATTAAGATCATCATACAATTCTTTCAGGTGGTCAGATGCACTGCTTTGCCAGTTCAAGTTAAAATCACCCATGATGATAGCTTCTGAGTTACGGTATTTAGCTAAAAGCTCTGCAATACCATCAATGGCATATAAAGGAGCAGAGAGAGGTCTATATACCCCATTACATTGACTGAGGTTTTTTCTCCTACAGTTATTTTCAGAGCTAAAAGTTCAAAGCAGTTTTTTTACAGTTCAAAGCAGTTTTTTATATCAAGAACTGTAATAGTAAAACATGACTTGACATACACTGCTACACCACCACCTCTTGAATCTCTGTCAAATCTATATAAACTATAGTTGTTTAAGACCACTTCAGAATCACTTGTATGCTTTCATAACCAAGATTCTGTAAGCACCACAATATCTGGGTCAGCCTGTAAAATCAGGACCTTAAGTTGGTCAAGTCATTCTTGCTGCAGGAGGCTTCTAATATTTAAATGAATTAAGCCTAGACCACTTCTGTTTTTAAACATGTCGTGGTCCTGAGGTTCAGATTCTGAGACCTGTGGAGCTAAATGTGATCTAAGAGGTGATGGTGAAGGCTTTATGTGGATGAGATTATCTATGTTAACTGTAGGAGCATTTCTACTACTATGTGTAGTATGGGCTCTGTGTATATATGCCATAGAGTTCTTCCTTTGGGTGCTAGTCACAGGAATGCTAAAACAGTCATTATTGGAGTCCATTAGTCAGTTCGTATTAAAGACAGAGTAAAGAAACATTGTCCCCTAAAACTTTTTAACCCAAGCTGCTTGGATGAATTCCATCTTTCCAGTAAAAGGATGGACGATTCCAAAAGAGGTTAAAATTGTATATAAGCCATGCTGTAGAGGTTTAAACCATCCTGTGCCCTTTCTTAAGGGTGGGATTGGGCCAGAGATAAACGGGGTGGAGCAGCTCATTCCCTTCGCTCTCGGCCCCAGCCGAGGCCAAGGATCTTCAACCTGGGCTGGAGCAGCCACGACGCTTAAGTCAATAACAGAGGGAGTAGCGTTAGCTAGGGCTGACGCCAACATGGAGTCCAGCAGTTCCTTGTCATGATAAGGCACTGAGATCCTGTCTTCCAGTTCAGTAATCCTTTGAGTCAGACGAGCACAGCCAGCACAACCAGGTGAGGAGTTTAATGGATGCATAGTAATAAAAGGTTCCAGAGGTTTAAAAGCAAAGATTAAAACAGTTCGGCTAGACTAAAAACAAAAGTCCCGCTCTCTCAATTGTCGCTTGCTCTCTGACGTGCTCACTGCTCATTGTCTCTCTCTGACGTGCTCACTGCTCACTGTCGCTTGCTCTCTGATTGGTCTGTGTACAACACGCGCATAAACTTCATACTCCTCCCGCATTCTGATCAGATCAGGCCAGTCAGCTTTAACAACGACAGCGTGACAGAGTCACTGTCCAGAATTTATGAAGAACCTGTGTCAGACTAGATTTCGTGTATCACGTCTCCAAAACAGCAACTAAACTAGGTTGTATTTTAAACGGGTAAACGGGTGTAGGCTATGGGTGACACCTGTTAACTAAAGTAGCCGACAGGCACTTGTAATATAATATACACAACAGTTATCAAGTTTAATAATTAGAAGCATTCTGAAAGAAGAACAAAAATGTTAACATGGTACCTGTTTACCTCAGATAAGCTAGCTTGGCAAACGCTCCCTCAGGCTAGAGTCGAGTTGTGAAAGCAAAGATCTCAGCAGGCTTCATGTTTGGCCGTGGATAATAATACCGTTTTCTTTAGTTCATGTGAAAATGAATACAGATGACCATTTGGATGCAGTCTGTTCCTCGTGTGTGCTAGGCAAGTCCTCCTCTTTCGTTCTCCACTAAACTGGACATCTCTGTAGTGTTTTTCCTGCTCGAGCTGCTGTTTTTTGATTAGTGAATTTTTAATTTAACTGCGCTTTGATCTTAATGGTTTATGCACTGATACGCTCAAAAATGTTATTAAAAATTAAAGTAGCGAAGTAAAATTATTACATTAAAAATTAACTCAAGTAAGAATAAAAGTACTATGATTTAATTCTACTCCAAAAAGTACCATTACAGGAAAAACTGTACTCAAGTACAGTAACGAGAGTAAATGTAATTCATTACTTACACCTCTGATTCTACAGAATCACACAGAAGGTAGACAGTGTCCCCATCCACTTAGAACATTGCACTAACATTTGAAGCCTAAGCCAGAACACCTGAAGAGCAGAGCATATCTTCCACATGGTTTGCCGAATCAGCAGGAACTGAATGTATCTTCAGGACTATCTGCAAAACTGATTGGAGACGTATGTACCTTCAGGACAATCTGCCCAAGTCACTGTGGAGTTAACTAGAGCATCATGTGTACATCACAAATTCAAACACTATGCATGATCATGACAATGGTCTATGATGTAAATGCATGTGATTGCACACGAATGTCCAATGAAGATGTGACATCTCATCATGCTGAAGCAAAATTGTCCAAGCTCCCTGACCTGCACCCATTATAGACAAGTTTTGCCTGAAGACACCATATGTTTCTAGCATTTCTTCATTAGTAAAGACTC